TCCAAAGTAAGTTTATTTGAATACAATGAATTTATAAACTACACAAATAAGTTAGAAATTGATTTATAATGCTTACCAAATACGTTTTTCATTGTAAAAATATGTATATTTATTGTTAATGGAAGAACTGCATATCATATCAGCATACCAGTAGTTGTTTTATTATATGCTTACTAAGTATGATTCAACAACGCAATAAATTAACTAGGCGGCAATTTAACAGCGGACAACAGATGGCAGAAGAAAGTTAATTTGCTGTAATTATTGCATTTGTTATAAATAATAACAGAGAGAGATCTTGCATGACTCGCATTATTGCAGTTATTAGGATATATTGAAAATAGCTCAAGAATTTATGATTTTCATTTTTTTTCCCCTTCAACGTGAAAATAGATTAAGGTTGACATCTAAAACGTAGGTCTTAACTGTGTCGAGAGAATTTATAATAGGCCATATGGCCCATATCTATTAGTGATGTGGTGGAGACCATTATTTTTCCAAAAGAAAAGAACTTGAAATGAAAAATAAATTGAATTAAATTTGTGAGTAAGAAGATCAATTGTCACGCTCAAAACCAAGGAAAATTCGATCCTATCAAGACCCAAAATTATGAAGAATCCGATCGTGTAGGTGTTATTGAGCTGTTAAACAAGACGAGCCGCTCGTGAGTTCAACTTAGCTCGTTAAGGCTAGAGTTTGGCCCAAACTCGAGCTCGCTTTATCGAGTCGAGTTCGGCTCGAAAAGAGAATCTTTATGCAATTCTCTATAGTTTGACTTGTCAAATCTCGAAATCGACTCGTATATCACTATTAACTAGCTCAGTTCGAGCCTTAACGAGCTAATCTCGAGCTTTACCGAATCGAACTATAAAAAATTATATAAATTTCTCTTTTCGAGCAATATTGAATCGAGCTCTGCTTGTTAACCAAACGAGCTTTAAATGAGCTCAAGCTCGGCTCATTAAGGCCTCGAGCTTANCACCACAGCTCAAGACAACAGTTTATAAAACCTACGTAAAGGGTGTGTACAAGTGTCCATCTCTCACTAGAAATTTTCAATTTAAAAACTAAAATTTTCAGTAATATAGTCATCCATTTACACCATAATCTTTTTGTTTTGATAGATCATGCTTAAAGGATTCCCATAACAGATGATGTTTGCTGAGCACTTTTATTGGCCCGTGTAATTAGGCTTCCGTCTCTCGGCAAATGCAGCGAGACCTTCCAGGCGATCATTTGTGTGCAAGAGCTGCTCATAGCAGTCTTCTTCTAGAGCCAAACCTGTCGACAAATCAACCTCCAATCCTCCATTAATAGCTTGTTTCGCCATACGTATTGCCAATGGTCCCTGTCATAGATAAAGGACTTCATATCCATTTTCTTTTGATCATGAAAGGTGAAGGAATGAGGAAAAAGAAAAAGAAAACTTTTACTATGCATCAACTAGATAACCAAAAAAAAAAAAAAAGCAATCCTTAAGTTCTTGCATAACGGAGGTGAAAAACCGGTATACTAATTAAGATTAGTGAAACCCGAATATTATGGTCATTCTTCACCGAGAAGTGATTTATATCATCTCAGTTTACCTTCTGATTTATATCACGAGCAATTTCAAGAGCTTTCGACCGAGCCTCACCAGCAGGGACACAGTGATTGACAAGTCCTGCAAAGAAATCCAATATTAGAGTGCCTTCTTCACACTAATTGAAAAAGCCGAGCAAATTATCTTATATCTGTGATGTTAATATTTAATAAGATGAAGATAAAGACGAGCATGTGAAAAATCCAAGTTGATATACCCATGGACAATGCATCTCTGCCACCAATTTTTCGACCAGTAAAAATAAGTTCTTTTGCCATCGACTTTCCAACTAATCTAGGAAGCCTTTGTGTTCCCCCAGCCCTGGAAGATATTTGCTACTTATTGGAGCACTTAATAGATAAAGATACTCGTATAGCAACCAAATAATAATAATATAACGAGGATGATATGGATTCAGTCATACCCAGGAATAATAGCAAGTCCTGTTTCAGGTAATCCTAGCACTGCATCTTCGACTGTGGCACAGTGAAAATATATATAGTTAGAGAAATTGCAAAACTTGTTTAATGTATTACACTCAAAGATGTTAAATTAATAACTGACCACAAATCCGAAGATCACAAGATAATGCCATTTCGAGCCCACCCCCTAATGCAGCACCTTCGATAACGGCTATTGTAGGAATATGGAGTGTCTGGAATACGGTAGTTTATTTATGCAAGTTCACGTATCAATTCATCTGATATTTAGATTAATGACAATAAGAGTGGTAAATTACATCAAAGGTAAAAAAGATAAGTGGAGACCTCAAGATACGTGAATGTGGAGCGTAAAGAATGCACAAAATCCTGAACTTCAGATGGGGTCATCGTCCTTCGTTCCTACAAAATCATTATCCAAAAGTAAAGCGAGGGTCGAGGTGATTGGAGAAGTCACCTCAAAATTTAAATTGAAAGTTAAGTTTGAGTGATATTTAAAAATAAAAATTAGAAGACTCCTAAATTTGCATCATTCTTTCCCTTGTTAACCTTACACTTACACATCATATTTCTCTATACATCATACGGAACTGAATTGACATTATACCTTCAAATCAGCACCTGCACAAAACACTTTAGGAACTGAACTGCAGATCATCATGACTCTTGCTGTATGGTCTTTATTAACAGCTTCAAATGTATACTGCAGTCCCCGTAGCATATCCTTTCCAATAGCATTTTTGGTTCCAGGCCTTTCCAAGTTAACCTCCAAGATTCCTGCAAGTAATACATAGTTCAATTTGCCATTGGCAGCATAAAAATAGCAGAAGGCAAAATGTATGAGCTCGAAATACCAATAAGCCCTAATAAATAAATTAACAGTGCAACATACACTGTCATTCAGTGGGAGAATTAGCTGGCCCCAAACTTTTAATGCATAAAAGCATCTTTAAAATATTCTTATACGTGAAAGTACTCCAATTTGTTACTATTATATGAACATATATTTATATCTCCATTAATTACACTTTGAATGTGAAAAAAAGAGAGCAGGATGTAGAAATCAAAACTAATATCAGATCAGTAGTTTGAGATGGTGTTTGTGTATGATTAAGCAGCCCACTTCAGAAAGGACTGGGCTTCAGCTCGCGCACCAGTTAGTAACCGAGATATGAGTGAAACCAAAACGAGAATGTACCGTACCATTATAATTTATAAATGTTATATAATAGCTAAAAACTGGAGTGGCACCAGCAAGTTGCAATACCAAATTAAATAAATGAGTGGTAAAAAATGCTTTAATATCACACAATCCTTATAAAAAAAATATCAATTCTAGCCGTGCGTTGTTTAAATTTCTCCTTATCAACGCCCACCTCATCCCTATTGGATGATCTATACATTAAAACAGATCACAATTTTCCCAATTTCCCTCAACCCATTTTACCTTTAGTAGCACTTCTGCTATGAACACCCAAAGCAGTGGATACCAAGTAGTAATACACTATCTATCAACTCATTTCAAAAGTTACCATTTCTAAATTTTTAATGTAAGAAATTATCATCATTCCATAGTTCATTATATCCAGCTCGATATGTCCGGTTGAGAAACTACTGTCACTGGTTTAGACATAAAACTATTTCAGCTGAAATCACTTTTTCGGTTCAAGCAATTCGGCACATTGACTATGCGTAATAAAACCACATCCATACACTATTTCCTTTACAACTCAGGCCGAGCTCAAACAAGCATCCACACACTTTCCAATCAGAGTTCAACCCAAAGCCCAAACACCCAGATTTCAATAGTCCCCCAAGTTCACAAAAATGGGCAGTAACGGACATCAAAAGATTTAAACCAAAACCAGACCAAATCACGAAACTAAGAATGCAGAAACAGCCAGAGAAAATATCTATGATCAAACACTACAGGATAAATTATCAATTAAATTCAGACAGAAGACGGAAACTAAGCATACATCGGATAACGGCAACATTTACCTGAATCGGAATCGGTGAGTTTCTGTAACTTAACGGACTCAGAAGCCGACTGGAGCAAAAGGGTTCGAATGGTCTTGAATCTGAAGAGTAGCTGGGCAGTAGGCTGAAGCTTTGAATTTTTAAAGGATTTAGCTGCGGAGACGAACACAACCATTTCCTCTGTACTATGACTATATGAGCTCTTGAGCAGGTGTTCGGAGTTCGGACTCCAAATCCAATTAAATAAAATGTGTCCTTGAAAATCCAGTTATTATATTCTAAACAAGACTTTTAAAAATACATTATTAGGAAAAAAATGGGTAATTGTGGAATTTCCCATGCCTATAGAAAAGGGTAATAAAAAATTCAAAACTGATAGGGAGTCTTTATATCGTCCATTATACTCGCAAGAAATATCTGCAACTCAAAAATTAGCACGATTCTCACTCTTTGCTCCGTCGCTCTCTCTTCCTGCTCGTTTTCTCTCACTGAGCTCAACACCAGGTCTCTCTCTCTCTCTCTCTCTCTCTCTCTCTCTCTCTCTCTCCTCTCTGTTAATTCGTGTTGTGTGTGTGCTCTCGTACAAGTTGCAATAGCATATAAGGGAAAAATTGGAAGAAATGAAAAAAAGAGCTGCATAATCAGGAAAGTGAAGAATTTTAGTCAGTTGTATCTCTTCGTTATGTTGTTATCATGGCTGCTCAAACAATAGTATCTTTTTTCCATTGCCTTATTTGTTCTTGTCTGTCTTCGGTTAAGGGGAGGATTGTTTTAATTTTAGCGGCCGCTGTTAGAAACACAATCTTTTTGAGCTTCAGTCTTCAGTTACCACTTGTTTCATTGCATTTCGTTTTTTACTCTCAAAAGCTTTGTTGACAATGAAGTTCATTCGTTGAGCAGTAATTGTAATTGTACAACGAACGTGTGTTTGATTTTTTGTTTCTACTTTTTTTGTGCCAGTAACATAAGGAGAAAATTCTTGACTTGTACAAGCCCAAAAAATCGCTGAATTGATTGAAAATTTTACGGAACTTAATGTTGCCAGTTTCATATCAGGGAGTTCTTTGGTAATCTGGCTTATGGCCACCAGTTAAAATCCTACATTCTGACATTCTGACTGATGTTTTCTACATCTTTTGTGGTAGAAAACCAGAAAATTGCTGAAATTTTTTTGGGAAAATTGGACGTAGAATAAGCAAATTCAATGTTCTCACCATCATTCAATACACGAAATGTATTACTACATCGAAATCAACCACCCTCCAATTTGCCAAAACACAAAAAGTGCCTCCGGCGCACAAGCTTAAACTTATCCATCTCCGAGGACTCGTCTTCACAAAGTCATTCTCGAGATGGGCTTCTACACGACAACAATCCAAACAATCGGCCCATTAGCTCCAGCCGAGCAGGCCACTTGTTGCAGTCTTGTTCTAATCTCGAAGAAGTAAGGAAAACACATGCTTTCGTTCTTAAGCTTGTCACCAATCAAGACCCTTTCGTCAGCAATAACTTGATTAGCATGTACGTGAAATTCGGTGACCTGGCAGCTGCCCGCCAAGTTTTCGATAAAATGAACGAGCGGAGCATCGTCTCATGGACAGCAATGCTCGATGGCTACCGGAAAAAACACCGCACACATTACGAAGCTCTGAACTTATTCATCGACCTCCTCGAGAGTGGGTCCCACGCGAACCCACACACTTACGTTTGCCTCTTCAACCTCTGCAGCAGAACCTGCGACAAACATTTCGGAAAGCAGCTGCATGCTCGGGTCGTGAAGGCCCGAGCAAGCAATCCCATACTCGACTGCAGCATATTGCACTTTTACTCAAAGTGCGGCGAATTAAAAACCGCTCTCGATTTATTCGACCGTATGCAGGAGCGCGATTTGATCGCGTGGACCACGATTATCACGGCTTGTTCGCAACACAGGCATGGACGGGAGTCCTTTAACATGCTATCGCGAATGATATCTAGTGGGGTCCAGCCGAACGAGTTCACTATATGTAGTGTGTTAAACGTGTGCGGTGAAGAGAGAGAGCTGAGATTCGGGAAGCAGCTGCACGGCGTTGTCGTGAAGAAGAAGGCGTACGTTTCGGACGTGTATCTAGGAACATCGCTCGTGGATTTTTACGGCAAGTGCCGGGAAGTCGAGGATGCGCGTAGAGTCTTCGACGGGATGAAAATACGAAACGAAGTCACTTGGACTGCTGTCATATCTGCGTACGCGCGTAACGGCAGCCTGGCAGAAGAGGCTATAGCGCTTTTCCGTATAATGTCGAGGCTGAGAGTCCCCGATAACGACCTAACTATGGTTAGCCTGATTCAAGCCTGCGGCTTTATTGGGGCACTCCGTGCAGGGAAGGAATTGCACGCACGGGTTCTCAAGGATTGCTCGCGAGAAAAAAATAATATTTTCGTCGGGAACGCGCTCGTTTGGCTCTATTCCAAGTGTGGGGCCCACGAGCACGCGTTTCGGGTTCTCGAGCGCCTGCCCGAAAAAGACGTGGTCTCGTGGACGACGATAATATCTAGTTGCGCTGGGCGGGGTCACGAGCTGGCGGCAATCGGGTACTTGAAATCGATGATGGGCCAAGGGGTGGAGCCCAATTCGTTTACCTACTCTTCGGCTTTGAAAGCGTGCGCGAAATTGGCAGACGTGAGGTATGGGAGGCTCGTCCACTCGTCGGTTAATAAAACTCCGACTGTATTGGGCAATGTGTTTGTGGGGAGTGCTTTGGTGCATATGTACTCGAGGTGCGGGCAGCTGCCCGAGGCTGCCCGGGTTTTTGACGGTATGCCCGAGAAGAACCGGGTGTCATGGCAGGCGATGGTTGTGGCCTATGCAAGAAACGGGCTATGCAGTGAGGCCTTGCGGCTCGTTTACAGGATGAGGGCAGAGGGAGTTGAGGTGGACGATTATGTCCTCTCGACTGTTATTAGTGCATGTGGGGATTTTAAGTGGGAAGAAGAAGGGTCCTCGAAAGATGTTGTGTTGCAAATTTAATACGACTATTTTTTTTTTTTTTGCGGTTCGTGTGTTTAGCAGGAGTTATGTGAATGAAATCTGGAGGAATTTTTAAGCCAGGGGGCTCGAAAGATTCGGGAGCAGAGAGAACTGAAATTGACGTTGGAGATTGTTCGGCTCGATTACATGTATGATTTCTGTCCTTGCTCATCATGAAGTATGCATGAAACCGTGTAAATTGATGTGTAACTATAATATGTGTATTTATATATATATATATTGGTTTCAATATTTATATATGGAAACAGGTGATGTGACAGGGTACGACTTCTCGGACCGTTTTGAGAACATTTTTGAGGCACAAGGTTCGAATTTTCTTTCAAATTTCTGTTTTGATAGAGAATGCTTGCTACAATTCTATCAGTACAACTTATTTTTGAGCTATAAAGCTAATGATGTGCTTGGTTAAGGGGTATTGAGAGGGGAGAGGATGGGTTTGAAAGAAAGTAGAGCGATTGGTTAAAGGGTTTTAATTGTAGGCTTGTTGTGGTTTTTGATATCCCAAGTCTTGAAAGAATGGGAAACTTATAAAACCGAAATCGACCTTGGACTTGGTCAGGCTCGGTTCCGAAAACTCGATAAAGTTCGTGTGTATATATTGATTTTCTGAGAATTGCGTTTCGCTCGGATTTGCTTTCAGCTATCTGGTTCGAAGCCAGAACTGTGCTGGAAGAGAAGAAAACATTCGTTGTAATTTTCATGAGAAAGATATAACAAAGATGAGCAATGTTTAGTGTACACAGTTGTGTTCATAGTGATGCATATACACTCTTCTTATAGGGTGAGTTTGATCAGATTAAATATTCAAAACAGTACGTACAAAATATTGCGTGTAACTGTATATGTATAGT